CTCCCGTGTAATAGTATATTGTCTGCCAAAGCAAATACATTAAAAAACAGGGCACATTAGGCAATGGGGGACACACGAGTGACCTACACTGCAAGATCATGTTTAGAGGCTCCTTTAGAACCCGGAAATTTAAATAACTTCTCATGACCTGCCACTGCTATACAACGATATCACACACACACAAAAACCTTTACTTCAAGCAAAATATATATAATTATCCTCCATGTTCTCTTGATAAATATAGTGGTTTTATAATGGTTTTACATTGACTAATTGACCCCAACCGGTCACAGTATACTGACAACGGATAAACCAGGACACCCCGACATGTCGAATGTTACTAACAACAGACAAAGTAGCCGCTACACTACCAGGACACCCCAACCGCTCATATTACACTGACAACGGACATCGATGAAAATCATAGACAAAATAAGGGGATGTGGCTCTTAGTAACTACATTTAGTATTAGGTATATTAGCAGACAAATGATTTGGGGAAATAAAAACAGCTAAAGCCAAGGTAAATCGCTAATATCAAATAATTGGATAAGTGGTGAACTTCTTTATGATGTGTTGAATGACAAACGTATTATCAATGAGATAGTAGTATTGTGTAAACTTTAATTGAAAACAAAATGCAAAAGTGAAATGACTCATTTAAGACATGCTATTCCACAAAAAAGGAAGACTTGTCTAAAATCAATCAACTCCACGAAAACAAAGACTAAACATCCCCTTATTTTGTCTATGATAACAAGAGAGTTCTGCTTAATAGATGGAACAAAAGACAACAACAAGAACAATGAACAAAAAAGTAAGTTTTGTGGAAGATTATTGTAGAGCACATTGGAAAGAAATGTTTGATATATCAGATTCAAGGACTATCGAAACCTCGTTTCAGCTTGAATTTAATATGGAGGATGATAAATATTTAAATGCGAATTATACAAAATATCACCGACTAAACAATTACATTGTAAATGGAAAATTGAAGCAAATAATTTATGTCATCTATGCAAATCATTGAAGATTATGAACATTTTCTTATCAAGTGTAGTTTAATTGATCTACATATATGTATTTTGGCATAGAATAGCAAAATCTCTTAAATACATGAAGAGAAAATTAAACATTCGACAACTGAAGTATAAGTAATGGGTTAAAAAATTATTTACACCTAATATGAAGATATGGCGTATTATAAGTTTTGATTGGGCATGTAATTTACAAAACATTCTGTGCAAGTGAACAGAAAAAGAGTTAATTGATTATTTATCTATCCTGAAATATAAAATGAAGTATTATATATTATATGCAAAGAAATCACAGGTACACGAAATATCTAACAAGTTTCATAAATCATTTATGAAAATCATTTAGAACCGTGTATATACAGGAAATATGAGTTTTTCATTTTTCTAATCGATTAAACCACAACGATGAAATTAACAGCTACTTTGAAGATATTAAGAACATGTATATATCAGTGACAGAACAATTCAAACAACTGCCATTGTCGGGATACACTTGCCACAAATATTTTTCTGTATTCGGCAGTGACGAAAACGGCTGTTTTTTAGTAAGTGATTCAATTTCATAGAATTATTTTCTGGTTACGTTTAACACTAAAAATAACTGTGGAAATAAGTGATTTTACATGTTGCAATGAACAAGCGTATTTACGAAATTCATAAAATCGTTGTCATATTCGTTGAAGTTTTGAACTATATATCTGCGCGGAGCAATTATTTAGACATAAGCCATCAGGAAAAACTCAGCGTAATGTCGTTAGTTAAACAAAAATTGAACAACAAACTGTTAAAGTTTTGATTGTCTGGTTTTCAATTAATGTTACAAGATACATAGATTACATGATCGTTAGTGTCTTAAATATCAACTGCATTTTGGCTCAGGACAGAAAGACAGAAGTGGCTGGCCAGAGGCTTTCCGCTTTTGTCTTTCATCATCCTCGCTTGAATTTTAAGACAGACATAGTCTTTTATGTTGTCTGTTAATCGTAGTTTTGTTTTTTGTTTAAAAGTTTATTAATTTTGCATTTTATTTATTCATTTACTTAACTTTTATCTAATTTATAATTTACATAATTTTTTTAAGAACACAAGTTTTTCCTATATTTAATTTCTATCACAACTATATAGATAAAAGAAAATAAATAATTGCATAATGCTTCATAGAAAGTGTAGTAAATTGTTTATTGATTGCTGTTTCACAAATATTAAAGAAAACGATCGTTTCAAAAATAGCAATTTTACAAAACTGTATCCGAATATACGCATTTGATTGATGCTTATGAATTTTTGTTATTCATAATTATAACTCTTGACTATAACGTATTCATTTCTTTGCTTACTATATTTTGATAAAGTAAAGGTTATTGAGAGTTAAACATAATAAATGTAGATGACACTGAATTATGTAGTCACTTATTGTATATACATTATTGTATATACCCGTCATGCAACACAAGCTGATATCGTCGTTCTGAGTAATAATAAAATATAGGTAAATGAATTGTGTTCATACCATGGGTGCAACTCCCCTGAGGCAAAATAAACAGGGCAAAGGGGAAATTACGGCAAACTCTTCAAATTCCTTCATCGGTAATACAGTCGGATTTTTGTCTACATTTAGTCTGGATCATTCAAGGGCACAGGAAAACCAATTTTTGCAACATGGTGAGTGTCGGCCCCTTTGGACATAATTATTGGACTGATAGGAGAAATAGAGATGTAGTATTAACATTATTCTTTCTACTGGTTGGTTGAAGGTTATGTGACCAAATGTGGTCAGAAGCATCGTTGGGCATAGGGGAAAATATATAAATGGTGGGTATCGGCTAGAGGGGATAGGCTCAAAAATGGAATCATACCAAATTCTTAAAAAATCTGTCTGCTATAGGAATGACTTATGTGTCAAGACAGACTTAATTACCCTTGGGTGAAAGGAATTCGGTTTTGTATAAGCGGTGCATCTGAACCCCCGCCCCATGGTTTGGTCGTATGACATGGCCTAACATTGAAAATGGAATTAATTCTTTGAAATGCTTTTCATTTAATTTCGAAAAAAGAATTCTAAGCAAACTGGATCCTCTGCACCTCTTGCTTATATATGCCGCTTACTGTCGTTGTACCCTTTTCAGACATTGTTTATACATCTATCAAAATTGTGATTTTACTGAGGTTCAGAGTTAAAGGGACATATTGTTAAATTTCGTCATTTTTCCCATGTGTTTGATTTTGGGCAAGCATTGTAATACTTCAAATTATATTAATCACAAAATTATAACACTCTCTGAGGTAAATTGATGATAGTCGACACTCGCTGTTGTGTCTACCACCCATCGCCGTTTTGATAGAAGATAGCTGAGTTCATCACGTGATCTTTCGGAGCCTCGTTTTGACCCGCCGTAACTAAGAATAATTATGTAACTAGCCAAAACTCAATCTTCCAGTCATGTTTCAATTCTTACTTTATAAAATGTCCTCTTGTTTCAGACTATAAGCTCGACAGAGCGAAATAAATGACTTTGAATTAATCTAAAAATCTAAAATTGCATGCACAAAAACATTGTCGACACTCTCCGAATGATAATGATATGAATGAGAGTTGGGATTCTCCTATCTTATTTTAATTTGTTGACGTTGTTAATAAAATGATATGCAAACTTTCACATATCATAATTAACAGAAAGTACACAATTCTGAACAGTTATTTAATTTTAACAATTGAATATCTAACCAATTGGTCGCTTTAAACCCTGGAAAGAGACTTGATACATCAAATGACATTGTGTGGTACGGACAACACCTTAATACAGAAAGCCTTTTTCACCTTGAAAATAATTCATGTAACCGATGTACGTTATAAGCGTGACAGAGAGAAAAAATGAATTTGAAATAATCTGTATCTAAATTAGTATGCGCAAAGATATTGTTTACACTCTCCGAACGATAATGATATGAAGTAGTGTTGGGTTTCTCCTTTTTTATTTTAATCTTTTGACGTTGTTTATTCAAGAGTTATACAAACTTAAAATACAACAACTAACAGAAAAGGTTCAGAATTCCTTCAGGTGACATATTCACCTTTATGATCACAAAGCCGTAACGAACATTGCTCCACGAAGATTGAGTCATTATAAATAGAACTACCGTGTAATAGTATATTGTCTGTCAAAGCAAATACAATTAAAAAGCAGAGTACATTTGGCAATTGAGGACACACGAGAGACCTGCACTGCAAGATCATGTTTAGAGGCTTCTTTAGACCTTGAAGTGTTAATAACTTCTCATGACCGATTAAAACATCTGTTATTCGTCACACAGAAAAAAAAAATTTCCTTCAAGCAAAATATATACGTAGAATTATCCTCCTTGGTCACTTGATAAATTATAGGTTTTAGCGGAGTCGGTAATATGGCATGTATTCATGTTTACAATGAAAGCTAACAATGCTGAAAAATTATTAGTATGTTTTACATGTACATGTGCATACGTCTGTGCCAACTGTAACCACAATTAGTTCCCAAGACCATCCTTTGTCACCTCTCCATTTTCAGATAGTCACCAACACAAATTAGTGTAGTCAGGATAAGAATTTGGGTGGTTTCATACAATTATAATAAATGTGATGGGAGTCTGTAACTATATCTGTTTTGATGCAAAAGTTGAACGGTGGGGTGGGGAAAGGACCGGGGGATGACACTTTACTATTCTATCATTTAATAATATTTTTGACTCCACTAATTTACTATTTGATGGACGGAAATATTGATCTAAAAGGTGGAATATAATGGGGTGTAATGAGAAAATACAGGTTATATTTAGATCAAGTCAACATTGTCAAAGAAATTTAAGGCCAATGTACTTCAATTATCTGTTGATGGTAGGCTAAAAACAACGTTTTATTGCTGACTTGTCTATTTGTTTAACGAAACCTTTTGACGAAAGCAACAAGAAAATACAAAAATAAAAACACTTTAGGCTGAATCATATTTTATCTCAAAGTTTGCGAGAAATAAAACTTTCTTCTAAAATTGTCCATTGGCAACACTCTATTCATACAATACAAGTATAGTAAGCAAACACACTCGTGCTTATGCTCAACATCTGAATTCCAATCAACAATAATCAAATACTAAGCAGATCTAACATTCCAATTTTGTCATGACAATATAAGCACAAGTTCCGTTCTCTCTTCTAAATGCATAATTACATGATGTCAATTTGGTTTGACATTCACCATTCCCTCTTTTATTCCAAACTCATTTAAGGTACTATTACCATTTTTTTTATTCCACAAAACACATTTTCACCAGTTATTATCATTTTTCTCAAAAATGCTATTGGAAATTCTCGAAAACATCAACACAGACAAGCCATGAATTCCCAATACCGATGTATTGAAAGTCCTAGGTAACCATGCAGGGTACTCTCGTGAATATTTCTCGTGATGTTGACTTTGTATTTCATACAACCACAAACAGTTTAATATTAAACAGATCACTACAAATGTAAATTTTCTGTGAGAGTTATTCTTAATGAGTCATCAATTAACGACAGAACGACAGTTCTGGCAGATATCTACCTAACAGAATCAACACAGAATTTTTAATTTCTTGTGTGATGATTGGTACATTTTGACCAAGCAAACACTTGTTTAAAAGAATCTCATTTTGATGACAATTACAAAGTAAAATTTACAATGCACAAAGTATACAAAGTATAAATCTACTTTTCTTATCTGATAAGTTTACAATTATACATAAATGTCAAATATATGGACGTTTGTATCAGAATTCATGTCACTGTGAAAACATTCGTGGGTTTTATTAATCTTTTGTGGAAAAATAGGTCATGAAAACATAGAATTGTTAAGTTCAAGCAACACATATTGGCATATCTCCTAAAGTTCATCCTTAGACACACATATACTCTTACACACTCACTTTTAACAAGATGGTGGAAATAAATATATAATAAAAGAAATAGGAAATACATAACAATTTACGCATAATCATTTTCTTGTTTAGCACAGGCCCTGACATGCACCTCTACGTATAGTTGTTACATTTTGACAAGTCACAAATAAAACTGTATTGTAGGTAGAACATCAAGACAAGAGTAGCTGGAAACCAGAAAACTCCTTGTTGTTTTTTCTTTTTTTTTTCAATTTTTTTCCATCAACAAGCAAGTTATCAAAAAGTCATGCAACAATTTGTTTGGAAAAGAGAAGATTTTTATCAATTCTCTCAATATCAAGTATAAATTTGGTCAATATCAGGATCACAAAAGCTTCTAACATTAATTCCTCTCAATGTAGAGTATATATTAAGGAATATAAGCTTAAAGCCAAATACAGATGTATGTTATATTTACAATTAATAGCTGAAGTTATAATTTTTTTGCAAATGAAATGAAAAGTCAATTAATCATGGCTTTCAGTTGATTCGTAGACTGTTTTATTCTTCTGAGCCTAATCAAATGACCTGTTCCAATTGTTCAGACCACATCAGATAAGTTATTCCTCAAGTTTCTTATATGACAGGCCAGGTCAGATCGGTCATTCCTCAAGTTTCTTTTATCTGACAGGCCTGGTCAGATCAGTCATTCCTCAAGTTTCTTTTATGACAGGCCAGGTCAGATCGGTCATTTCTCAAGTTTCTTTTATGACAGACCAAGTCAGATAAGTCATTCCTCAAGTTTTTTTTTTATCTGAAAGGCCAGATCAGATAAGTCACTCCTCAAGTTTCTTTTATCTGACAGACCAAGTCAGATAAGTCATTCCTCAAGTTTCTTTTATCTGACAGGCCAGGTCAGATAAGTCATTCCTCAAGTTTTTTTTATCTGACAGGCCAGGTAAGATAAGTCACTCCTCAAGTTTCTTTTATCTGACAGACCAAGTCAGATAAGTCATTCTTCAAGTTTCTTTTATCTGACAGGCCAGGTCAGATAAGTTACTCCTCAAGTTTCTTTTATCTGACAGACCCAAGTCAGATAAGTCATTCTTCAAGTTTCTTTTATCTGACAGGCCAGGTCAGATAAGTCACTCCTCAAGTTTCTTTTATCTGACAGACCAAGTCAGATAAGTCATTCCTCAAGTTTCTTTTATCTGACAGGCCAGGTCAGATAAGTCACTCCTCAAGTTTCTTTTATCTGACAGACCAAGTCAGATAAGTCATTCCTCAAGTTTCTTTTATCTGACAGGCCAGGTCAGATAAGTCATTCCTCAAGTTTTTTTTATCTGACAGGCCAGGTAAGATAAGTCACTCCTCAAGTTTCTTTTATGTGACAGACCAAGTCAGATAAGTCATTCTTCAAGTTTCTTTTATCTAACAGGCCAGGTCAGATAAGTCACTCCTCAAGTTTCTTTTATCTGACAGACCAAGTCAGATAAGTCATTCTTCAAGTTTCTTTTATCTGACAGGCCAGGTCAGATAAGTCACTCCTCAAGTTTCTTTTATCTGACAGACCAAGTCAGATAAGTCATTCCTCAAGTTTCTTTTATCTGACAGGCCAGGTCAGATAAGTCACTCCTCAAGTTTCTTTTATCTGACAGACCAAGTCAGATAAGTCATTCCTCAAGTTTCTTTTATCTGACAGGCCAGGTCAGATAAGTCACTCCTCAAGTTTCTTTTATCTGACAGACCAAGTCAGATAAGTCATTCCTCAAGTTTCTTTTATCTGACAGGCCAGGTCAGATAAGTCACTCCTCAAGTTTCTTTTATCTGACAGACCAAGTCAGATAAGTCACTCCTCAAGTTTCTTTTATCTGACAGACCAAGTCAGATAAGTCATTCCTCAAGTTTCTTTTATCTGACAGGCCAGGTCAGATAAGTCACTCCTCAAGTTTCTTTTATGTGACAGACCAAGTCAGATAAGTCATTCCTCAAGTTTCTTTTATCTGACAGGCCAGGTAAGATAAGTCACTCCTCAAGTTTCTTTTATATGACAGACCAAGCCAGATAAGTCATTCTTCAAGTTTCTTTAGCTGACATGCCAGGTCTGATAGTCATTCCATGAGTTCCTTTTAGCTGATTTTCATCCTCTTGGAGGTACTAGAACTATCTTCATTAGTGTCTCTTTTCTTTTTCGATCTGAAATAAGAAGAGGAAATTATAGACTTTCACAGTTATTCACGCCACCCTGGGATGTATAATTGATGTCTACATTTCTTCTTAATAAATCACCTCAGATATATTTCCCTTTAAGCATAGTTAATAAAGCCAAAGTTTTTTTTTGGAATCTACATTCTCTTGCTCTCTTCATACACCAATGGTTTTGATCCTCAAATCAATCAAATTTTAAAACTAATAATTATATTCTCAAACCACTTTTGTTTCAAATTCAGAATACTTCCCTGGTACTACTAAAATCATACTTGTTTGTCATTTGCTTCAGTGAAAGAAATATGAGTCTTTGACTTGCCAACCATGGAGCAAACTCTTAAACAAACTTTAAACTTCTCTTAAAGATGTAGTACATGTCTACATATTCTCATCTGATATCAATTTTGTTTAAGAATGTGCTGCAAAGTTTGAGAAAAGCTATGCTAAAGGTTGACAAAATTGACAGAAACCCAAGTAATCACAACCTGTGTCCCAATCTAAAAAATCTACTTTTTACCACACTTAGTCACTGTAATACATATAATATCTGAGATTGTCAATCTTAACCAAATTTCTTGGTGTTGATGTCAACATTACTGCCGATAGAAATGCTTTACTAGTTATCTCCCTTCTATTTCTTAGTAAAAAAAATCACATATAATAACATTTCCCAACAGAAATGATTATTGACACAGACTTTTCCTGTTGAACTTTTTTTCAGGTTTCAAAATTAAATGTGTTCAAGCAATAAGTGATTTCCCTCAACAATTTCATTACAGTACAGTAAGGTAGTGCACCTTGTATCTATTGCTGACTGTAGACTAATGACAACATTCTCGGCTGCTTCCTGGCCCTGCACTGCTGTATGTAAATCAATTTGCAGCATATCTGTATAAAACAACAATTGCAGTTTAGTGGCATGTAAAATATTTTAAAAAGATGCATTTTCATCCTGAATAAAAACTTAAAATACATTTTCATCTAACTTCTGATTATAAAATTACTAACTACTTATGTGAGTAATTGTTAGAAACTAGATAATTACAAAGCTATGAAAGTACATACCAGAATTTTAAATCAAACTAGAATGTATATCTTGTGGCTGTTTAAATCCACAAACCCCCATTTCACCTGCCCATTTCACCTGTACTTACCCACATTCCCATCCTCTGCACTAGCTCCACTTTGTTGAAAAATTTGCTCCACTTCCTCTTCATGTTCACTATCAGTTTCCAAGGCAACCTGAGTTTCAACATCTTTTCTCTGTTTAAAACAATATGTACAATTTTAAAATGTGAAATGCAAATTTTAAAACAGAAATGTTGAATGATATATAGACATAAGGTAATACATGTAGTTTGAAGTAAATAAGTTAATTTGAAGTTCTGTATTTGTTTCTTTTGGAAGGCATCCTGGCCCTTCACACTACCGAAATATAAAGAATATCCCTTATTCTAATTAATTTCTTATAGCCTTGTATTCCTAAATGAATGTTTCCTCCATTTAAGCATAAGCTATGGTTAACATGTATTATATTCATCAAAAAAATAAACAATATTGAAAAAAAAGCATTGCCTCCATTCATTCCGTTCAATAAATGAATCATTCATTTTATATCAAAACTCATTTGTTATATTGAAATTGTCTTGCACATGTATGTTCTGTTGAAATATTAGTGGTGTATGTGTGGACAACATTCAAAAGTAAAAGGATTTCATGGAATGAAAAATGTGTATCATGCAATATGATTGGAGCAGTATACATGAAATTATTTTTTCACCTAAATAAACAATGCCTTGCAATTTCACAAATATAAATAATTGAATAAATAAAATAAAAATGAAAGTAATAATAGAATGGAAAATACACAGATTCCAGAGACATTTTCAAGACCAGCAAGAAAAATTTTGTAGGTAGATGTAACTGTTTATAAAAAGTGAGTTTCTTAAACAATGCAATATTGTGGTACAAATTGGAAAGTGACCATGTTCCATTTTTCTTGGTTTTTTAGTAAACCCCAGTCGAATATCAACTTATCATAACAACCATATTTGCATCACTCCAAATAACAGTATGTTCACTTCATATCATGGAATGTAAAAAGTATATGCTTATAGATAATGGAATGCTTTCTAGCAATACATCATAGAATTGCTGGAAAGCTGGGAATTGGAGCAGAGTAAATAATTGTATCAAGGAATAATTGGACACTGAAAAACATATATACAGAAAAACTGTCAATGTGTGCTTTGTTTGACAACCAACCTCATCATCGGTCTGCGGTTGCAGATCCTGCAGTACCGACTCAGCGTCTGGGTTTGTCACAGTAGCAGTTGCCATCGATATTCTCAGAGGCTGGCTGTCCAAGGTTCCACCACTTGTTACCTGTAAAATGGAGTCAGGGTGGCCATCCTCCACCTACAAAGGAAAACAAGTGGATTTTGAACAATATCCAAGGAATGTGTATATTCTACACTCATATGGACTGACATGTGTAGTTCATAATACACAATAACAAACTGAAACACTATACATATACACATATAAAAACCACAAAATTGGAAACACTTCTGATTAATAATATATAAATTTTCTCATATTAAATCTTATAACACTTTACAATTAGTTTCGCTACCTCAGCAGGACAAAATGGTTGCCTGCATGGTAACACCATATGACTTCATCAATAACCATGAAAAACTCAATATATATGCAACTTTCACAAAAAATTCACACAAAAAAAGGGATTCATTTAACAGGAAATATGGAAGAATGACTTGACAAACAAACAGTTTAACTCCAAAAATTATCATGTGTCTTGTTATTCTGTTTCATAAGTTATTCAAGTATTTGAATTCAAACACACAAGCAATCTTTACCTGAATTACCAAACATGTACTCCTCAGATTCAATAAGTTAATAAATTGTCCACATTACTGAAATTAACATTGATATACAAATGCACTATAGCTGTTATTTCACTTTGGAATAAACTCTATGATGTCATATGGTGACTCTTTATATTTCTATAGATTAATTTTTTAACAATTTTGCTGGGATTACAAAATTTTCAGAAAGAAAATTGCACGCTGAGAAAATCAATTTAAAATTCTATATCCCGAGTCATTACCTGTTCTCTGTCCTCAGTCATTCCCATAAGGACATCTTCCACATCTTTTTCATGGGCCAGACTTTGTAGTTTGGATGTGACTTCCTCCACCCTGCCATCTGGATGTACTATGACAATTTTTGGTGTATTTCCTAGCTTTCCTTCCCTCATCTCTGTCAGTAGACTGCCCTGTAAAAGCTGCTCAGCAGTAAGTGGAGATGACAGACTATCTCGCGTCCGCCCCTGACCAGCAAGGTCCTTATACTGAACACTGTCAGGGTCATGTTGTTGCATGTGACGCATTAGGTTGCCCTTATGAGCAAACGTCTTGTCACACTCATCACATTCGTACATCTTGTCTCTTGCCTCAGGTGGGCTGTACTCTGGTGAGTGATACAGGTTTATGTGTCGTCGTAGTAGTTGTTTTTGGCGAAAAGTCTGACCACATTCCTTACATTCAAACGGTTTTTCACCTGAAAGAGATAACAACAGCTATGCAATTACAAGTCCCTCTAAAATTGAAATTACATATTTAGTAATCATCTGTTGGTATGTTAATGCATGCAAGACTAAATTATGATACTCAAGTTTATGTGTAATAATGTGACTCTTAACTAACAAGACAATCAGGTGAATTTCAGTCACCCACCGAGCACCAACAATTTTTTTTTGGGATGCAGGTGAAGAGTCAAGATATAAGACAGAGTGACCTATTTTTGATACATGACACATCACTTCACCAAGGTGAATGCCTATCCCAAAGTATGAACATCTAGTGATAAAATGTGTAGCAGATAAAGCCCAGCCAAAATTTTTCTAGAATGTTGTTGAAAAGTCAAAATATAGAACAGAATGACCCAATTACAATACATGGCACATCACTTCACCAAAGTGAACCCATATCCCCAAGTATGAAGTTCAAGTGATGAGTGGTGTAGGAGACAGTCTGGTCAAGATAGCAGAAGGTTGGACACAATGCAAAACAATAGTCACAATGCAAAAATTAGTTCCCTTATCCCTTCATCTGTACTTTTAAGTGTGAATATGTGACTCTCCATTATCAGTATTGACTGTAATGTACATGTGACTCTATATTATGGTACTCATCAGTATCTGTGAGAAAGTCCATAGGACTCTTCACTATAATTCTAATCTGTATACATGGGAATGTGACTGGCCACAACTGAAATCTTCACTGAGAAAGTAACTATCAATTTCAGAAACTTCTGTGTATGTAAGTATGGGACTCTCTACTGAACTGTGTGTGTATATATGACTAACCACTACAATATCGATCTGTATGTGTCCTTTATGTCCCTTTCCTGCAATACCAAATTTTATGTGTTATAACCTATGTGTGTATACACTTCTACACTATAATACTCACCTGTGTTTTTAAATGAGTGTATGTGACTCTCATTATAAAATCAATTTGTTTGAGAAAGACTTTACATTGTAACACTCACCTGTGTGTGTGAGTATGTGACTCTCCAAATGACGGATAGACTGAGCAGCATAGTCACATTGTTCACATTTAAAGCACTTCTCTCCTTCGTGACTTTTCATGTGTAACTTGTACGTGTATCGATCTGGGTAGGTACTGCCGCATTTCTTACAGGACAAAGGTTTGGCACTGCTGTGTAGCTTCGACATGTGGATCTTTAAATCTGTTTTCCTACCGCATGTTGTAGGACAAAGGTGGCACTGAAACACAGGTTTATTACCGGAGTGGATGAGTTTGTGAGCTTTGAGACTGTTACTCTGTGTGAATCGTGCATGACATACATCACACTCGTATGGCTTCTCTCCTGTGTGTATCCGCATGTGTCGCTTCAGTTTATAGGTATCAGGACTGGCATAGTTACAGTGGGAACAATGATACGGACGCTCACCTGTGTGTGACCGCATGTGTCTCTTCATCTTACTCAACTCCACACTGGCATAATCACACTCAGTACACTTGTGTGGCTTCTCAAAGGTATGTTTGTAGCGAATATGCCTTACCAATTCCCCTGAGGTGGTGAAAGCAGCAGCACATTCCTTACACTTGTGTGGTCTAGTGCCTGTGTGAGTGTTCACATGATTCTGTAAGGAAGCCATTGTCTTGAATCCACGATCACAGATGTTACACTTGTGGGGCCGGTCCTCTGAGTGGGTCTTCATATGGCGCATCAACAGGTACCGTTTAGGACTTGTGTAATCACAGTAGTGACACATAAGCTGCGCTTGGTGTGCTATTGGCAGCCCTATACGCTTTGGCACAATTGTGATAACACGCCGAGTGGTACCATCCTCCTGGACAATTTCCTCCACCATTTCTTGTGTTTCATCCTTCATGTCCAACACGCTGCCCATGTCAAGGGACAACTGTTTTGGAGAACCAATACTGTCTTCCTTATCAGGCTGTGACACTATCAGAACGTAACTCATTTCACCGCTGGGATTCATTTCTGAGGGTACAATAGTGACTGTCTGGAAGTTATTGTCACCAGTGTTTAGAACTATGGAGTTGGGATTGCTGTCATTCCCCTCTGTGCCCATGATCTCCATGGCCCCTTCCCGAGCCTGAACAGCGACCAACTGTGGCTGAGTACTGTCAGATGAGTTCTGTAGAGCTACAAGTTGTGCTGAATTCAGTTCTGTCTGGCCAACCTGTGAAATGATCATATGCATTTGGGTAAAAAAAAAGAACATCTGAATATAACTGTATACTACATCTACATAATATTAACAAAAGAAATATAGTAAGAGCATTTATCATATGTGTCACTTAAAAGTGTCAAATGTGACCTGCAATTATCTGCAACATAAGAATAAAATTTGACACAAACTAATTTCACAATTTCCCTATGTACATCATCCATATTTCACTTGCATCACAAAATATACGTATACCCCCACCCCCTGCTTTGCACACATGAAAGATATGAGTTCCTGTAATATTTGTGAAATATGTACAATTTTGAACAGGAAATTAATATTTGATCATTGTCTTCAATTTTCATGCCACAAAAGGACACCATTTAAGAAGTCCTGACCAGCAATAATGATAATTCTGTCATTAGGGTAAAAGGCTGCATTCTCATCAACTAATTAAAAAAATTCCATGCAGCACACAAATATTCAATAATAAACAAATGCACCTGTTAATTAGTTAATAAGTGAATACATAGACTTTCAATCATACAGTAATTATGAAACTGTGTGAAAGAAGGTCAGTTAGTTTCAGACAGATATGTCGCAGGTTCAACTGGTCCAACCATTTCAACCACTTACACAAATATAACCTTAATCGTACAGATATAGAATATTTTCTCTAATCAGATATCAGATGTTAAAGTGAGATAAACATTAGTTACACTGTTTAGGAAAACTTTTGAAACTTACAAAAATAAAAAGGATGAATTTGAGACATCAGTAAACAAAGATAAATTAGTACAATCTTATTTTATCTAGAAATGCCACATTCTGAACGTTTCACTTTTACTTTTGGTAAATGTGTACCGTAATTGTCTGTAATTGGTTGAGAGTGGAGGTATTAGCTGCAACAGATGCCAAAACAGCCACAGGATCTGAGCCATTCCCAACAGTGTCAGCTAGTTCCTGTTCATCATGTAAAACAAAAATCAAAATCATTGACACATTCCTACACTCTGGAAAAGATTATCATGGCTATTCCAGTAAAACATCTACAGAACTCCAGGACTTACAAAATAAATTGCTTCTATCCATGATTCCATTTTCTGTCTATTACTGTCAAGCAAATAACAAATTAATTTTTCTGGGTTGCCCCTATCATGCCTAAACAAAACCTGGAGACAATAGTATAGAAGTTCTTGTAACACAACTAGTAGAGGATCCAAGTGTGACATTTCGATGACCTTCATCAGACAAATGACCAGTGTAAAGTGTACTAGCAATGACAAAGTTAGTGTACGAGATGGTAAGAAATTGACCACAATTATTTTGGCTGTATTATAATTCTATGTACACTGAGGTCAAAATAGTGTGACGAGAAAGTAAACAGATAATACAAAAAAAAAAAAAAAAAAAAATACAGAAGGTGGTAACATTGTGCTAGGTCAGTTTGGCAAACTTTGTTTAACACTTGGCCCTAGATGAGCCAGGGTCTCTGGCTCCCTTTGTCCCTGTATAGTACTAGCTTGCTGCAAAATATCCAATCTTCTACTGGTTGTGTTATAAGAACTAATTCTATTGACATTGCCAACCTGAAGAAGGAGTCCTGGGGTGGGATAGATGTTTTAATGAAAGAGCCCTTAAAGACTGTCTTTCCTATTGCCTTTTGAAAAGCATCTTTTGACTTAACATTCACTGTGGAAAATTTATGAACATCAAATCAATATGCTATCAATTTAATGATACTGGTAAAATTTAATGCATATATGCCGACTAGCCAAGGCACAAATAATCAAAATTAAATTATTATTGCTAGTCAAATAAAAACTTACTGATAACATGTATCACTTACATCACATGTACATATATGAAATAAAATGAACAAGTGTCACAAACTCAACATATAATCGTTCAATGTGAGTGTCACTGGGAAGCTTTGATGTATCTGTAAGCACTAGTATTATACACAGCCATGTAACTATTTTGTAGGGGTACCATACCTCTAAATAATGGGCAGCAGAATCACATACTGTTCCATGCATTTTATAAGAATAATGGATGCAGATTGTAGAAGTACCTGTTCAATGCTGTTTCTGATAGCATTAAAATCAGAAGGTCTACATACTTGTTTAAATTTGTCAGTGAGAATGATGGACAGAGTGGCATGTGTGCCTGTTCACTACTGTCTGCCAACAGGCAATGGGAGGAGGGAGGGGCTACTTGTTAAATGCTGTCTGTCAACAGGCAGGGGGAAGCAGAGGGAGGGGGTTGCTTACATGTTAAACACTGTCTGTTAGAGAGGAATTATCAGGTATGGGACAATATATCTGTTCAATACTGCTGGTGAGCATGGTGAACACTGAATTGATGGCTATTTGCTGAAAGTTGTCTGTGAGTTGTGCGCACATGTACAGGAAGAAGACATTTGTAGTGTGTTCAATGTTGACTGTGAGATACAAAAAAAGTTGACTAATGTGTTCAATGTGTAGAGGTGGATACAAAAGGTTGATGTACCTGCTCTATGCTGTCAGTGAGAGTGGTGGACACAGTTGGGATATGTATTAGTTGACCAGTGCTAGTATTCAGTCCTGTAGTCAATCCAGTGGTCAATCCTGCTGCTCCTGCATCCACAAGCTGCATGTGCTCCTGGCCATCAATGGACACAACATGGACAATTTTCTGTTCTCCATCCCCTGACTCACTTACTGGTATCTCTAGTTGCTAAAATGAAATTTCAACAAATGTAATTGTAAATGTAATAACATATAATGTAAATAGTAAGGCAGTCATTCAATTATATCGGGACTGACTACTATCTATATGTCTATGACTTAATACTATTTCAACATAATGCAAGGATTCAAACCATCATACTGGAACAAAAACAGCAGCAACATCTTCAACAATTTTAAACATTTAATAGGTACAAACTTAAAAAGGTTTTATTTCATCCTTTGGTATCTTTAATTGTTCAGTGTTGTAGAACAGGAGGAAACTGAAGTTCCTAAGAAACAATCTACGTGTTGAGGTAGGTGACCACTTGCTCTTTCACATATGATCGAAGATTCAATCTCCTGAGATTTTAGTGAAAATGAGTGAACTAACAACTTTGCCTACCAATTGTACTTTAAGGTTTATTCCGTTAAAATATTTTCTTAAATGTTCAGCAGATGTGTATAATTAAACTACAATGTACATTTATTCAAAACAAGACAAATCTTCTCAGAATTTTAGAAGTAGTTAGATGTTGCACTGGTTTCCTGATGGGCCCAAATAATAGAAATCCAATGACTTTTCACTGTACCTGGCCACTTGTCCTCTGACAGAGAAACCATTCAACTTTGCAGACTTAAAAACCAAGTATTTTCAAATTTCAGCAAAAAAATATACTTGTAAGTGGACTGAAACTACCTCCTGAAATTAGCTCTTGGTTCTCGAAAACCATTTTTGGGGATCAAATTTCTTCACTCCTTCCTCTAATACTAAACCTAATATCAACTACTGCAATTGAATGGTATATAGTAAGTATTTGTTTCTATTTTGTTTATATAATTTCTAGTAATTTTCTACGTTTAAAAAATTGTTTAGACTTTCCAAAATGAACGAAAAGTCAGGAACATTTCCATGATATCAAAGGAAACATTGTAGCATTTTAAAATTAAATATACCAAAAAACAATAACAGACAAATTATGAGTTTTTCAAGGTCTTATGACACAAAAATCATACCTTCATAAAGCACTCTTTGTTGTCAACTGTCTTGGCGAGTTCCTCTACATTGCTAAGTTTTGTAACCTGATCCTGAGCAGCCATCTCTGCCATGTGTGCTTGGACTTCTGCCATACAGTTGGATACTGCCTGGTCCATACTTGGGTCTTCCAGATCAACAGGCACTTCCTCTGGTTGGCCATTTGTTATTGGTTGAGTCTGAACTCTGACATTAGCAGTTGCTTCCACTTGACTTAGCTGTTGAACAGCTTCATTAATATCCATGGCTGCACCATATGGAAGCTTCAGGTCTGATAAATAAATAAAAAATCTATAAATAACATGACAATATTTACTCTGTATCTGTATGTTAACTGTATTTGTTTTGGAGCATATAAATATTATACCAGGGCAATGAGGATGAGGAAGCTGTCGTCATTAGATATGAAATCATCACCATCCAGCAGTCCATGTAATATATAATAATGAAATTATATTGTTTATACATGAAAGGGTTTAGGTGACCACATTATGAAAGGATCAATCACTGCTCAAGATGAATAAATTTAGTTCGATATTTTTGGTTTAGTCCTTTGATCCATTCAATGCTATGTACAATTTTTGTACATTTTAGTAAGTAACATCACGATTTTGTCGCTGACAAGAAAAGTGCAACTTTCATTCTGACACTTTTTGTGCATAATCTACACTGAAAACAAATACCTTGCCTTAAATTCAACCTAACTTGGAGGACAAAATTTAATTTACCATGATATTAACCATTAATCATCATGTTTATAATGTATGTCTTGCATAATCTTGAATAACATGAATATGCTACTATTGCTACATCTGGATGATTACTATGGCTATAAGACTGATGTGTTACCATTAAAGGGAAGCAACTCTTCAAATCAAAATGTGTGATATTCCTTCACACTTCTATATATTTCAATTTGTCATATCATTGTTCTATAATGTAACATTCTGGTAAATCTTTAATGATAAGAAATGATGATGAATTAACTTTCACATATTTGAGATAAGGTCTATTTACCAACAACATTAACAACATTTTCTACATCAGAAGGGTCGATGGACTCCACTTTCTCAGCTTGTACAGTGATAAATCCAGACTGATCTCCTTGCCCATCTGACAAAGCCTCAGCGACAGCAACACCAGCACCATCCGCTCCAACAGTAAATTGGTCTGGATCATCAGTTTGTTCAATTTCTTTGTTAAATGTAACCAGGTAGTGCTGCAGGTCATTCAGATTGACTGGAACACCAGGGCTCTCTGTGGGATGTTCATTTCCCGGATCCATCTTTAAGTTCAATCGTTATAAAAGCTTTCTCTTCTGAAAAAAAAAGAGATACTCTGTACAAATTAAATAGTCAATTAACATTCCTTTACATCAGTAAATCTAACTATAATATTAAACATTTCTTATCAGGCTTACTTGTACATCATAATCACCTCACTATGTCTGAAAATGTATATCAAAACCAGTATTTACATCATCAGAAATTCATGTTTATGTTAAGGAAATAAAGAATGAATTTGCTCAGTTAGATAGATTATAGAATTTAATGTATATATAAAGTATATATGTATGTCACAGAATAAGCTTTAATATATTTTGAATAGACATCCATTCATTTGAATTATCTCAGATTACACCAACCTGCACACCACTTTTAACTTAATGTGAGGATAATACTTTAATTGTACTATAAATTCTTATTTACCATATCATTATTTACCTGTTTTGCCATGATATATTCCACATATGCAGAGAGCGAAAGTGATCGTAACCAATCGAGTATCAAGGATGATCTACCAATTATACTTATGTACAAGTGCTACCTGGTTGCTGACAATTGACCAAGTCAAATTCTGCCATATTTTTCCCTCCTTCTTCAAAATTTATCTCCCAAGACACAACTATTTCCTAAAAATGGGTAGAACAATCCCCTGCAAGATCCTGATTCAAGCCTTGGACTCTGCTAACTCTGAACAAACATACAATGTACCATCAATTGAATGACCTAATCATCAGCAATCGAACAAGTCCACTTCCCCTGCCAGGGCTCTCGATCTGCCAGATTTGGGGCCGATATTCGGCACCATTCCCAATGCAAAATAGCAACTTTATTCCCAATTTAGACCCGAAGTTATCCCAATTCTAAGGAAAAGGCCACTATTTTCCCCAATTCTAAGGGCCCTGGGCCACAGTCCCAAAATGGGGTGTGAGAGCCCTGCCTGCATTTGTCATTGTACATCTGAATTTTGAAATACTTCAGTGATGTACTTCTATATTGAAGAAGATCCACACCAGGCATACTTAGCAACACATGTACAACTAATTAAAATAGGAAGTTCATGAGAATATACAAAATTCAAACACATCAAAATTAAGGTTTCTACTTAAAGAATTAAATAAGTAAGGGAAAGTACTCATGTAATCGAATACATTAGACCTACTAATTTTGCCTATTGGTAGTTTTGTTTTTAATAAAATTTGGTACTTGGACTTACAGAGGGTTCAAACGTTAACGCTAATGAACTTTGGGCCTTTTCGTGTAAAATAGGTGAACTATCATCCAAAAAAACAAATTATGGGAAAAAAAGTGATGAAGTCGAACAAGAAGTTGGCACACAGACATCGTTATTTATGCAAAACACGATATGTTTAGTATTATTATTACGATACCCGTTTTCTCAACAACGGCGGACCAGACTATAGAAACTGAATATTCGTATTCCGTGTTTATTCAAATCTGGGACCGAATGTCAGAAAAAAAGAAATTCAAAACATTTTTCATCACCGTGACATGTGAGACAAACTGAAAGTTGAGGGTTATCTCATTTCGAAGGTACAGCGCCACCGTGCAGCAATGATTTTTGACCAGCGCCCTCTGCTAATGCTGCTCCTCGCCGGCAGGGGACGGGGTGCACCTTGAAATATTGGCGAGTTCTACCTGTAAATCAAGATATATTTACCTGTGTGTGATCCCAGTAACCAATGGAATATAATGATGCTATTATCGCTTCAATATTGTCGCATTTGATGTACAAACTTTCGAGATTTGGCCATGGTGATTTTCGAACTGAGAGAAAAATCCAAAATGGCGGCCTGTAACGGGAAGTGACAGCAGGCCCAACATGATAGCCTTTGGGCATTGAGCGTTACTTTAAGGTTTCGCATAGGCTTTTGTGATGTTTTATAGAGAAACGATGTCAATTTATGTAACTCACAGTTGTGAAGGGATTTTGTTTATTTTAACGTTTACAGTTTTACCTTAGCTATTTCCCATTTTCGTCACACGAGGGCGTTGTTTTATGACCTAGATTATTGCTTCCGCCATTTGCTGTAGACATGTCCTCTCTGCGCATGCATGTTTTGTACATAAAACGCGCGATTTTCAAAAATGGCGACTTGTATTCCTAGCAGCCTGGACCACAAAGTTATTAGGTCGCATGGCGCGCTGCGAACCCAACTTTTAACATTTTCGCTTTATTTCTGAAAAATTGAACCGATTTCAATCAAATAAATTTTGGGTGAAGGCGTTTTTAAGTTGTGATAATTTGTACCTAATAACATTTATTATGTTGAAATCAATTAATGAATATAAGAAATAATGAAGTTGATAAAGCAACAATTAAAAAGTCTGCATTGATCGTGTTGCTTTACATGTAGAGAAATATTTGCCTGATAGGCCTATCTCGGGTTGTCAATAGAATGGTAGTTCGTATAAGATAACCAGTAGAAGATACTTTCATCAGACATCAGGCCTTCACGTTTCTTGTTCAATTTTGCGAATGTCCTCTATATATCTTATATTGTCTCAGTGTCCGGCTTTGTTTCCATAGTCAATCAAATGACATTGACCGGTTGAACATTTCGCACACCGCACAGAAAAGTTTTTAACTCTTGTGATAGATGCATTGCTTTTAATTAATATGAGACAACACATATTGCTATTATTTACAAATTATCAGGGAAAACATGAACTTTTGAAAGTTAAGATTAATAACATGAAAATACCCGGATACAGTATCATATTATGCCTTCTTTACAATTCATGAAATAAACAACGATTATGTATTTGTGATACCAATCATGTAATTGTCTTTCAAATTTTCAACTTTCACAAACACATAAACACCATTCATAAGTAATTTAGTTATTATCGGAATCTAGGTAGTCAGAAAAGAAAAGCTTTGCACAATTTTCAAAAAAGTCTTAATTCACCAAAGGATTAGTGAGTAGTCGTATATGATGAAATATCACTATATTTACTCAACATGATGACATTAGGTTCAAATATAATATTTACTTGTAGCCGTTTTCTTTCTGTTAAAGAAACGTATCATTCTTTTCTTAATGCGCTTACAACACAATTTGATCTCCCGTCTGAATTTAGAATCCATGAAACCATACACAATAGGATTTAATGCACTATTAAAGAAGTAGAAATATGTAAGGAATGAACTGACGTTAGCGTGTTCTGCGATTTGTCTTGCTACACTAGTATCAAATACTTTGAGAATGGAAAAGAGTAAAAACGGAAGACATGTTCCGAAAGACAGGGCAGTCACGACAAGAAATATTATACTGAGACGGCGACTTCTGGTTAACCCCCTGTTGACTGCGGGAGATACTCGGAAGGAAAATACACGGTTCATTTTATCTCGATCACTTCCGGTCGCTGCCGGTTTGTTGTTGCCTGAAGGTACATTAGCCTCACTACTTTCTTTCTTCTGATCACATGCTTTGTCCACGGTTGGCAGATTGATTTTTGAATCTCGTTCTCTTACTTCGATTTTGTTTGTGGTCATATCCAGAAGTTCACCGATTTTGTCACGTCCCGGGGTCTGATTATCATCGTCCTTCTTTAGTTGACAATTTTCAACGCGATCTTTTGCCGACGCACACGAATCGGTTTTATGCAAAATGTCTGCTGTATGATGTACCAACATGATCGAATCGTCATCAGAAGAAGGCATATTTTCATCCTCGTCTTCTGAATTGTACATACAATCACAATTACAAATATCGGTATCTGGCGGATTGTAATGGGTTTGATCTGAAATGCAGTCATCAGAAACGATACTTTCTGTGTCATCTCTGTTCTGATATTCACCATCTGAGTTAGGGTATCTGCTGGAAGATTCTTCCGGCTGTTTATTTTGTTTATCTTTACCCATGAATACATCTAGTATAGATATATTAGATGGTTTTCCTGGTCTAGCTATAGTGTTGACTTTTGTATGTCTTCCTATCGTGCTGATGTTTCCATGTTTACATAACGTATTTGTCTTCTGCTTCTGATTCCCAGCGCCACTTGGTCTTGTGGGAGTATCTACCACACTGATCTTCGAGCGTTTTATCAGAGTTCTCCCGATCAAGATATAAATCACTAGACACACTGAGAACGAGATGGTGAAGAGAACACCGTTCATGATTCTCTGGTATGTGGTAACTGGTGACGTTGCGGATTCTGCAGATATGGTACAATCATGTCCAGTTTGATATCCCGACACGGGCTGCTGTTTGATGCCATATATCTGCAGGGCAGGAACAGCCAACAGAAGAAATTCGGAAGCACCGATCACCGCACAAATGATATTAGATCTGGTTGGAGTTAAACCTGTTCGAAAAGGCATACAAACTTTCCAATATCTCACCGCGGCTATAAAGGTGAGCAATCCAAGAGAAAATGAAGGAAAAAACACACCCAGTAACTTGCCAATCTTACAAAGTGGTTCGTTTGTAAATGTCAATGTGTTATGCAGATCGTACAGAACAAACGGTATGCCTTCAACGCTAGACAAGAAGTCAACCGTAGATAGCCACAAAACCAGGACTCTGTGATTACTGCGTGAGAATTTGGTAAAATAGAGGAAAAAAGTCAGGCTGTTTCCAAAGCTACCTACCACAAATATGGTGATAAGGAATACAGTAACGGGGACAAAGTTTTCCGCGAAGTATATGGATTCCTGAACATATAATGATGGAAACAGTGTGAAATTGTCATATTCCTGCGAATTCGTCACGTTCATTATGCACACTCAACGTTTTTGATATGCACAAATACTTTTTGTCGGTTGTTGATTTCAGTTGAACTCGATATGAATCTCCGGTTGTGAATACAAAATGCTGATACAAACACCTAAACCATGATTGTCTGTTCAGCACACTATCGACACACACGTAATGATGCTTAGGTACACGAGTGTAGAGTGATTTAAATACAGCAATACTGCTATAAAGATAATTATGTTACTAATCGGTGTGAATCACAAACCTTCCGTTACACACTGCTTTGTGGTTTTTCTTAGTGTCCAGAAATTAACCTCTAGGTCAATGTTATCAGCACATTTGATATGTACACGTCATTCACTAATTATCTTGTGTTTAGAATGTTAAATAGAGTATGTTGCCGTCATAACAATTATAATAAATTAACCTTTTAAGATTTCTGACATAGTTTACTGAAAGTCTCGTAAATATAAATATTTAGGCTCTCCCCTGTGATTGTATTAAGTGACCACCTGGAACTCGTGTTTTCTTACTCTATTGGGTATGACCTGTGATTTTATTAAGTGACCACCTGGGACTCGAGTTTTGTTACTGTATCGGGTCTCTTTGTCTATTTAGCGGTCGCTTCATATAAGTTGGCATGAAAAAACGATTATCTCTGTGTAAGGCGACCTCTTAATACAAATGGTCTCTTTAGAAGGTCTCCTACTTAGTAATACAGATGGTCGTTATATATGCGAGTGGTCGTTTGGTTTTGTTGGGTCGTGCTCCTGTTATAATACAACCAATAAACAGTGATAATTTAATACTAATATTTATATATTTATTGGTTTATGGGGTTAGTGCACCTTCTTTTAATCTTACGCTTGTTTTGATCGATTTTGATCATCCTTACTCGATATGGATCTTCACACATTCGAGTCCCAAACATCAGGGAAGAGTAATAGAACGAAACAGTTTCACATTTTAGTTCCTTTACTTAAACTGTATTATAAAAACACTTTTTAAAACTGTGTGGCACATGTACAACCCTTCACACAAATATCCAAAATGTTGGTGCTATCAAAGTGTATCTGTCATAACTTCATTAACTTAACGACAATTGTAAAGTGTGGTATAAATTTCAACTTTGTTTTAGACTATGGAAAACAATCGCAGGTGATCTCGCACGCCTTTACGTATGATCGCAGAACATTAGAATCCACTGACTGCTAGCCTGACTGTATTGATGTAGCCTCATGTTAATCTGTTACTATAGAAGCAAACTCATATTTGAGTCAATGTAGAATTTTAGGCTAATGTTTTATCATTATAAATTTTCTAGATAGGTCATTTCGTGCGCATTTTAAATAGAAAAAAAACATGAAAAGTGTTGATTCTTGATTGATGACAAAATCTCAAAAATATCGCAAAGCGTGAAAATAACACGCGGCTTAATATACAGCACTAAGTATACTTTCACGTGTTAGATTAGTAATTATGTCTATACAGCGAAATAACGAATATCAAGGTGTGCAACACGGTGTGTAGTCTAATGTTAGGATAAGATAACTTATCAGAACAAAAGATAATGTTAAAGAATATTTAGAAATGATAGTAAAATAACTTAATCATTGTCTTATAACATATTACAGGTCAGAAAAGTACATACTATTGTTCTTGTAGTCATTCCGGATGCTGTGTCATCACACTTGACACTTCACCACACTCTGTCTTGTCGTCACGTTTTTACGATGTTAAGTGCAGACTCGTTGTCACTATATAACTCATTTTAAACTGAATAACCTACGATCGAGTCTTTCATCTTAAGTAATAGTCACATGATACTACAGGGTTAACCATTTCTTGTTTTCCTTACCCGTGTCATACCATCTCTTATTAATCACAGTCATAACTAGATAACTAGGCGATATGGTATGTGGTACATTTACAATAAAACAGAAGCTATTAATAAAAATTATTGTTCGCTTTAACAGATTTCTACCTATGATCCAGTTTGGTTCATATTCTAGCTATGCTGTATCGTAACCTGTATTGAACGTATAGTTTTATTTTTGCCCTTTTTGCAGCTCTTTGTGCGAGAATTTGTGTCATAGCAGTTGTTAGAGAAAACAGAGAACACTAGTGTTCAGTAGTGGAACCTTTTAACATGTCGTTGTTGATTCACTATTTATTACCAGTACCGAAAATTCCGTGATAAATAATTACTCTCAAAATCACTTATCACACAGAAGTTATGCAGTATGATTGTTATATATGTAATGACTGCAATGGGATACTATCCCCTTACATATATGAGGTTCTATGTACGCTACCCCTATTATGAATTTTGAGTAGTGGCGAGAATGGTGTCATGATAACGCTTTACCATAAAAAGACACGTACACAATTGTTAATGACTGCAAGGAATTAAACGTCTTTTTCTATCATGCAGTGGGGTGCATTGATTATCGTTATGGAAGAAAGGATATGGTTTTGGAAGGATTTTAATGTAAATTTACTTCTTATTTTTAAGAAAGCATATGTCGCTACTACCACAACGTTTTCGCTGGTTCAGGGTCATGATAAATTTGCACGAATAGAAATTTCTTGAGAAATGCATCGTTGACAATATGCTTTTTTTCCTGCATGCTTGTCGTTGGTCTTCCATTTGATGTGCGATTTTGAATATTCTAATAACTGTAGCATGTATTGGCCTTTTATATTACTATTGTTTTGACTCAACATCAGTTTCTGTCAACTTGTATCTTGCAATAAGTTAGTCTGTATAAGTGAAGCGTTTTTGACAATTTCATTCATTATGCGCAGAGAGTCTGTGATCCGTCCGTGAAAAGGTTTTGTTGTTGCTATATCTCGAGAATTTGTGGATGGATTGTTCGCAAACTTGATACGTGGATTCTGTTTGATCGATTGTTGGGCGCATTTGATTTTTGTACTAATGGCTAATAGACGGTCATTGTGAATTTTGATAATGAAACTTTGTAACAGATATTTATTGTGAAGTACTGGATGGATGCTGAAATTTCACATGTAGCTTTTACTGAGTAGATAAATATGCCTTTCTGATTTTGATACTTATCAGCGAAACAAAATGACTGACAGACAACCATCTTTGATTTTTACTATAAAAGTTATTAAAACTATTTCTTGAGATGTGCGGGATGGGTCTTTCTAAGACTTCATATGCAAGTTCCTAAATGTGCCCTTTTGATTTCGGAATTGATTACAAAAAACAAAGAAATCAAAATGGCTGACAAGCGGCCGTCTTGGATTTTGACAAAGCGTATATAGGTCACCTTGGCGACTAGATGTGTTCTCGTGATTTTGGGACTGATCAAACAAAACAAATGGGTGTCAGGCGACGATCTTCAATTTGGCAATTAAAAATCAATATTACTATTTCTTTGGGGAATTTTCAAATTTCATATGATCATGAGCGCACCACGTGGGAAAAGGGAAAAGAAGGGGGAAAGATCCAAGTTAAAATGAACAAAGATCAAACGATTTTGGACACCAAAATCCCTTGTACTGTAACTAGATTTATATAGGCGGGTAAAGACTTTTATACATCTGCAAATATCTAGTGATGATTTTAAAGCCGACTCCTGATATACCTTAGGAGTTAAAGTGGTACGTTCATTGTTGTTTCAATTTTTGTATTTCCGAACCACTCTAAAGATACAGAAATATCATAGCTATATTTTAGAGTACAACTTCACTGTAGTTGTCCACTTCAGGAGATGAAATAAACGAAAACACAAAATTTACATCAAAATTATTATTTGAGCACAAATTTTGTTTGGTTGCATATATCTCGAGGCGAGATAAATCCACCAGAAATAACAGTTATTGTTTGTATGATGTCGTATACGTCTCAATGAAAACAATACCTACATAAATCATGTATTCATAACAACAGAATTTAAGCAAGGCGGGATTGGTTCAGTCTGGTTGGGATATTCAACCTCAGGTGAGTTCCAAAGTGTACAGGTGGAATCCAAACTTGAAACGATTTACTTTCATCAGGAATATGAAAACCGAGTGTTCCGTTCTGTAAAAAATATAATCACGGGCTCTGGATAGCATGCTATGTTATCCAGTACTCAAACCAACAGCCACTGCAAGGATGCCCACCTAAAAAAACAACAAGAGAATACCAACATATCCACCTAATCCTCATCCAAACTCAAATTCAACAAAACCTCAGGCAAAATATGAACAAAAGAAAGTTTTACTCGGAAACTCATGAAAAAGTACATGAGGAATAAAGCCAGTAAGTTTGCTTCATCGACGACACTTTTCATGTAAAACTTGGTCAATCCTAGTAAGTAATGTCACGTTCTCAAAATGAGAACAAGGTATACAACAGGTAAACTAACAACGAGCATCAGACACGTCCAGCTTCATGTCGCACAAAGAAATAAAATATTTCATTATGAGATCACTATGACGACCGTAAAAATCCCCAAAATTATGTTTGATCGATAAACCCCATAAACAGCAGAAGAAGATTTTGGAATGTGGATGTTTACCACTATGAAGACGTTCCTTTAATTAAAAACAGGCACAATCATTTTCTACTAATCTGTTATACTGTCAGTGTCTGTCTTCCTACACCTGTTCTGCTTCCTGTCGATGTATTCCACTGTGTAGTATGACATAGCACTACACACCAGCAATCCAAGAAGAATATACAGTTTGATGTTGGTTGATGCAAATGTACTATATGAAAGTGAGGTTATAAATCCGGTCGCCTCCCAAACGAAATAATTTCCGAACGCCGCCTCTGTGTTTTCCATAAACAGGTGTCCATATATCGCTGAAATATAGAAATGTTTGTCAATGGTCATTTGGAGATTTTATACACAAAATTATTTTTCTTAAAGTATTGAACAGATGAATATGCAGTATTTACCTAGTAATTGTGTCTTCAAAATGGCGTCCGAAGCACCCCACATAGTTGCGAATATGAAGAAGAGATATCCCTGTTCTGGGCCTGGTTTCCATACAATCAAAACACACTGCACACTACCGTAACAAAGAAAACCTGCAAAAGGAATACCTTACAACAGTGACGACATATGAATCTCATAAAATGGTACTGTCCTACAAAATTGTAAAGCAATTGGTGATATCATGATATTATT